TATTATTATTATTATTATTTTATTATTATTATTATTATTATTATTATTATTATTATTATTATTATTATTATTATTATTATTATTATTATTATTATTATTATTATTATTATTATTATTATTATTATTATTATTATTATTATTATTATTATTATTATTATTATTATTATTATTATTATTATTATTATTATTATTATTATTATTATTATTATTAATTATTATTTCCTGCCACTGCTCATTTCTATTTCAATCTGCTTTACTCATTACTTCAAGCATATTCATTTTATTTTTCTTTAGCAAACTTCTCTGAATCAGTTCATGAAATATATGATGTCAGTGAACACTTCCCTCAATGGATGATGCCCTTTTATATCAATGTTTTACAATCTTTTTTGATGACCAGCAATCCGATCAGCTGTAAATTGAGATATAAAAGCTTTCTTCCTACTTTGTTAGGAGGTACCAAGACTACAGATTAGTGGAATGATATGAAATACAACATCAAAGACAAAAGTAATGTGTATAATAATCTCTTGTCTCACAACGCGACATATTCGAAATTTCAACAACCGTCATTAAATCTCGAATGATGCCATCTTTCACTTAAATACTCTTCATCCTTATTTCCGAAAAAAACCACATTAATTCCGAAAATTTTTCCGCGAAATTTCCTTACACTATATTAACTTGGAAACAAGTGAGCTGCAATAGTAAATATCACGTTGTCACGTTCGCCGTGCGCCTACGAATCATAAAAAATTAAACAGCATAATCGTTTGTTTGTTAAACAAGACATATTTTCAGTTTAGGACCACAATAAGATGAATGAATGTCTGATAAACTCAGCAAAGTAACTGATATAAGAAGTAAAATCTGTAATCCAATCCTAGCTAAAGTTAAATTACATGCATGAAGAAGCAGTGATATTTATGAGGAGGATTAGCGAAAGTATGTCATAAACAAGGGATATGAAGATGTACAAGGATCATATTTAATTTCTGCTATCGATTTTAAGACATTCATATATCACACCACCAATCAAGGAACTTGGTAGCTTGATGAAATAACTGAAGCAAAATAATGAGAAGGAACAGAGGAAGCAAATAACAAATTAAATTATAGTGGACTAATGTCATCCTGGAATGCAGAAAAAGCATTCAAAAGGGATACTATTCTTAGGATAACCTTTAAGGATTGGTGACATTAGAGAATCTCTGGAAAGCTGTTGCTAAGGCTTTTCGGTAGTAAAGTGGCAATATAAGGCCATACTAATTGGTCGGTAAGAAAGAAAATAGCTGAGATCTTGTTTAAATGTGTTCCAACCATTAAACAGAAGGAAAATACTTGTTGTCAACAATCCATAGAGAAAAAGGAGCCAAAAAGAAGAAACTGTTTGGACAACTAGACAAATAGTCATTGTACAAAATTTGAAAATTTCATAGCAGAAAAAAAAAATGAAAATCATGACTGTGCATCCAAAACCACCAAAAATCAATGTTCGGACGGAAGTGGCAGATATGTTGGTATGCAATAAATGAAAATATTACTAAAAGGATAATCCGGGTAGAACACTTTAGCTAGAAATTGGACGGAAGTTAACTAGCTAACATAGCTTTAAGAAACATATAAGGGGAGCAGTAGGTGAGCTCTTCGAAAAAAGAAAACGAAAAAAAGGAAAACGTGCGACTTCCCACACTCTCTCTTTCGACAGTCGTTCGTTATCATTCTTTTCATATATTTATCGGACCCATCCTAGCACGATGCACTCTTTGACGCTGTTACTGAATAGCATGACCATGGAAGGAATGCAATCACAAGCCATAGATTCATCCAGAGAGCCTATAGAGTCCAGGCTTTTCAGTCGCACCAACCTAACACTCCTCGCATAGCTTTATCTAGCGCAAATATAACCACTCGATGAATCAATATTAAACATGACTGGAATAGAGAAGCACGTGCAACTGCAGTAAATCAACGATTCAGTTCGATATTAAGCGCATTTAAAGTTAACAAATATATTCGCATTTAGCTCTTTCTAATCTTCTTTTCCTTCGTTTGCTTCTCCATTTCTCAAAAAAATAAAATAGAATAGAATAGAAAACAGAATAGAAATAGAATAGAAGATAATTACCAAATAGTAGGATATACAAAATGCAATGCAATTTTTCCATACGTACCTTACGGGACATTTTAATGCATATCATCGACTGACGTTTTGTTTATATAATCTACTGTGAACAAAAGCGGTAGTTCCGCATACCTCTGAACGATATCATGGTAAAGTTGATGATAAATTAGCTGTTGTTCCGTCAACTACAACTTCATCACAGAGACCATGAAAGCAACTTGGCTTATATCTAATCATGATGATTTGTACCGTTAATAAACAAATGATGTCGGCTGTTGAAAATATAAATAACAGAAAGTGGAGAAAAACTGATTTTCCATAATGTTATACAACTAAATGAGCACTCCTGATTTTTTAAATGAAACCTTCGAAAAATCTTTGTTGCAAAAGAGATCTGACTGAACAATCACTGTTCTTATAGAGAATGAACAACCATAGTTAAAGTAAGTGAACTACATAATAAATGCGTAACAGTGTCTATAAATCAATTAAAAAGTCCTAAAAGACCAGTAAGTGCAACTACAACTGTGTAAAAGTAAACCATTAAAAAATCATAAAATTTGATGAAAGAGAAATTTAAAAACGAAAACGTGAAAAACAAGAATATTAAAAACGAAAAGAATCACGATAGCATTATGGAAATTCAAGATGGTGGAAGCGATTCAACTCCTGCAGTAAATTTGAAATCATCCGGAAACAGTTCTGCGGCACGAGGATAGAGAAGTTTATATGTTTGTTTAACCGTCACTTCAGCTGCACCCGCAATTTCACCTATTTCTAAAAAGTTGGACATAAGTGGTTTTATACTCTATTGATTAACTGTATGACATTTCTCACAAAACCTAACACCTTCTTCTTAAACTTTTTATAAATATCATCAATATTTCGAGCAGAATTTTCCAAATGCAGAAAACAATGCCAAATAAAACCTTTAGCCGTTTTTTTATTGCTGGATGCTTGGCTCGCCATATATATCGCTGCTGCAGCAATAGATATCGGACTACGGCTAAAATAAAACAATATGAGTGCTTTGATGAAGTCAAATCATTAAAGTAAACTCAGAAGCATTTTTAATAAATAAATTGTCTTACCCAGCAACTAAATCCAGTTCAACAGCTTTTTTTGCAATTCGTGTTGCTGCAGCCTGGATACTATGCGGCAAACCCAAATTACCACAGAATCGTGACTGAAAAATTGTATAAACCACTAAATAAAATGAAATTCTACATATGATCATCAATAGCATCAACTACCAATTAATGAAGAGCGGTAAATTTCGTGATGTAACCCTCACCTTACATTTTTTGTGCTAAAGTTCACGCACTCGTTTTTTTACCCACAGAAATTTACACAGTCTATTCAACGTTAATTAAATATGATTCCGCACAAGTTAGTTTAAAATGAAAAGAATATGCTGAAACTTCATAAAGGAAAATGAAAAAAATATCCGAAACTGAATGAGTTTAGTTCAAAATACTTTTCAGCATCTAACAACGGAAATTAAGAGAAAAACTTAGCAGCCTGACCATAAAATCTGCACTAGTAATCTGTTCCAAACTCGTTTCCAATGACTTTATGATCAGTTTGAAGCACCTTCCTATTTCTTTTTTGGAAACACGAGAAGCAGCGCAGATTTCTGGAAACCTCCCAACAATTATATTTAATCATTTAAGAATGAGATACATAAAACTGCGATGAAATGAAATGATGCAATCTAATACAATAATACCAAAAATTAATAATTTAGTAACTCCCAACAAAGTGGTACCAATAATTCGTAATTAAATAACCTTTAAATGTACGTGGAACACCTTCTTTTCTGCAAGCTATGTATAAACATGCTGCTGCTTGAGCTTCGTTATTTTTACCTCGTAATGCTTTGCTGTCCAACACATCTTTGAAAATTTTGGCTGCGCCATCCTGAAAAATTCAGCTACTATATAACCTATTCAGGCATCGTTCGTGTATTCAAAAAATCATCAGTAAATAAAAGAGAAAACAAGTACATTACATAATATTGACTTAGAAACCTCAATAGATTTTGGGAGGTGGATGCGTGCACTCATCTCACGAATTACACTTAAGCCCTGCGACATCTGTCGATCCATGTTGTTCATATTCTTGCGTTGCGCATTTGCCAAACTGCAAATAATCGAACTTGCATAGTGAACACAATAAATTAATTAGGTAAACACAAATATTCAACAGATATGTCAAGCTAAAATATTTATAGGTGTTTTTTATGCTTAAGAGAGATGAAATAATAGTAAGGGCGTAAACTTTGACTTCGAAGTTGACAAATCCATATCATTTTATCATTTCATTGATAACGAACAACGAAGATCTATAAATTGCCTGTAGTCGCTTTCGGAACCACCAAAACCGACAGCAATAGATGTAGATAAATCAGCACTTCCAAGAAGTGGGTTCTCCGGTGCACCAACGCGTGAAGGATCTGCACCAGACTTTTCATTACTGAATGATCGCCATTCTGTGCCCACATCCACCAATCTTGAATATAATTTTCAAACCAAGATTTGATTGTCAACTTAATGTCATTTTCCTTAACTTTAAATCCAGAAACAGTAAGTGAGAACAACAAATAGGCGATACCTGTCCCCCACAACTAAACCGCATTCGGGGCAAATCAAGTCACCAGCTCGATGGTCCTCCACCAGATGAGCACCGGGATGTACCGGGCATTCCACCGACATCTGCAATCTTTCTTTTAATAAGTGAGGATTTCGTTCACAATACTAACCTTCCCAATCATCAAATTTCCCTAACAGCTAACCATCCCACCCTCTTTATTTGCTCAATAAAACGTGATCAGATATCTCTCAAAAACAGCAAAATGCTTCTTCCCAATATATTGTACGAGTCCAGCGCCTGCAGGGCAAGAGACGGTAAGGAGTTATTAGCCGTTGGAAATCCCAGTGAAATGAATCTTATGGACGGAAACAGTGACTCAGTCAACCTTTTCTCCATGGTTCTCACTACGCAAACACTATGAACCAGTTGATACCCCACCATATACATAGGTATATTGTGCCGGGACCAACTAATTCAAAATATTTCGTACTAGCAGAATAGTAATTTAAGATATTCAAACGAAGCATCCATTATGAAAGCGCCTGAGTTCACCCAGCACCAAAACAACCCGAATTCACGCAGGACAAGAACGCCACCACCTGGTCTTAGGTGCACTCAACATACCTCTTGAAAAAGATATATCGATAGATCACTCTGACAGAATTTTGTGAAAACAGCGATCTCGCGATGTCTACCGCACTGAATCGAACTGATACACCATGTATTCCGTCTTGCACGAAAACAGTGCAAGCAAAACGTTTTAAAAGAATAGCTATACTTCCATTATCAGCGATGTTTCAATTTCAGTTCAATATTGAGACTCCTTCAAATTTGAAATAACCTTTACCCAAGGTTATGTACGCCGTAGAAGTGGCAAGAAACTACTGTATGTGATGGGAAGGATTTCCTTTTTCCTACAAAACTGAATATTATGCAATATAAAAAAGATTGATTATTATAACATCCCTGCAAATAGGATTGAGGTTCATTTCCTAAAAATACTTCCCAGACTTGAATTAAGCCCTTTTCGTTACAGATACTAGTCAAAGTAATTACTGATGTTCAAAAACAAAAAAAAGAAAACTGAAGAAACGATAAAGTTTTCTATAAATCTTTATGCACCAACATTATGATTACGAAAATCTAATAAGAAATAATAAACAAATGCTCATGAACGCGGTCTCTCTTTTTTACCCTTAAATAAAGCAATCAAAGATGTATTAGCTACTTTCACAATCTTGAAACGTACACCTGGAATGTCACCCACTGCATGACCTTTTCTACCGAAGCCAGCCACTAGGACTTCGTCATTCTCCTGTAACAGAAACTTCTGTGACAATAGTTGCATATTCATATCAGAAAGCAAAAGAGACGAAGAGTACCTTCAACAAGTTCTACATATGTAAAGCAGTAACAATATAAGTTACATGCTGAGAAATTCGTTTTTGTCAACGTAAATCCACATCAGTAAAGCCCCCATATCAACAAAATGTAATATACTACGTCATTAAACAATCTGGATAACCTACTAATTACGAGATAATTAAGGTCATCGAATGCGAAACAACGAAACGAAACAACACCTCAATGAAGTTCAAGCAACCATCGTTTGGAACAAATGCAGTAATTTTTTTTCCATTCTTGATTAACTGAACACGTACACATTTGCGAATAGCTGAGTTGGGCTGTTTAGCTTCAACGCCACTGGAAAAGAAAGTATATATATTTTTTAGTAAATCACATTTATTTCAAATATCATCCCATGAAAAGCACCACAGCAATACCAACGTTTCAGTTCAATATCACAACGATCTCAATGATGGGAAAAAAAACAGTCTTCTCCTCTTTTTTTTGAAGAAAGCTTGAGAATCTCATGAATTCAGTGACGTAAAAACTCCATGCGTGGCTGTATGCCGTGCAAAAAAAATGCAAAGTATGTGCGAAAATATAGTATCTATTATTGAAATAAAGGTAAATATACATACACTTTTTCGAGGACGATGCCCTTGGCATGTGATGCAGCACCGAACGGATTGGCTTTCCATCGAGTTCCTAAATGAGCCTTTTTGTATCCTTTATCGTTCCACCGTTGAGCCTGCCGATGTGTCTTCAATTTTCGAGCTGTACGTATACCTTTCGGTTTCCCCATCCTAACCAATTAATTACTATCTAGAGCTCTCTGCAAAGCATCGCTAAAATCACTTTACTAAATCCAACCTGGAAACGCTCCCTCCTAATATTCCCGACTTGGTATAAAGAGATGGAACTCTATTTTTACACAGCTCGACTGTGAAAACTAACATCCAATATAAATTTTACTTAGTGAAGTGCTGACATCGGGACAGCCACAATGGTCAAATGTCAGCTGATTTGATTATGCGACTTCAAACATACGCGTCACTATTTGCATTTATGCTATATTTAATGCTGGATTAAAAATTACGTTGTCCAACCTTTTCACAATAATATTTTCGCCTGATGATATGCCATTGGTCGGTTGGTCTAATATAGGAGGGAAAGAGAGGGAGAGAGAAAGGAACCTTTTCTGGGAAAATTCACGAGAGATGAAGTTATTATCCATATGGTTATTTATCGAATCAGTCTGGGCTGAGATGGATCAAGCCTCATCCAAAGTGGCCCTCAATGAAGTCCTTTTATTGCACTTTATAAAAATTCCTTTGCATGCTCACAGAATCTTTCATGTATTGAATACGTCCGAAATAAGCGCAATGTTACAAAAACGACTTGATTCACAATTTAATCGCCTCAAACCAAAAATGCACCGTTATTCTCGCTTCAAACTGATTAGAAAACGATTCCTCGAAGAGAAAACGACTTTTCGACGTCAAAATGTCTGATGGATGTCGGATGTTGAATAAAAATCTTTGATGGACTTAATTGCTGATTTGTGAAGAAATCACCACTTGCTTATCGCTTATGGGAAAATCTTTCGCATGTGTTTAAAAGATTTATCCTATCTATTCATCAATAAAATTTATGATTTTAACGTCATAACATACAGCGTTTCCTTGAAATCTGAAATGTTTCAATATTTTAAGTGAAAGTCAGGTATTGAATATCACTAGTTAGCTTGAAACTTCATTTCAATTATACTAATCGATTCAAAAATTTGTTTAGCCATTCAAAATTTGATTAGCTGTATTGAAATCACTGAAATTCATCGATAAATACGCTTCACTTGTTCATTACGTTGAAGTTCGACAGCCTTATGCCGAAACTTTCCTTTTACGACTTCGAATATACAGGATGTTGAATGAATTTTTGAAGCAGTCTTTATTAGCAACCGCAACCATAATTTATACATATTCTACATAGGGCTATTGACGGATAGCAGCAAGGTTATTGAACTGTTGACCAATGACATCATCATGCTTTCTTCATTTCGGCCTTTCGGTTACAAGTATTTTAAATGTAAGTCAGTCCATAATTAAACAGCTCATAATTAAGCGATAATATTTAATTTGTGATGGAAAAAAGAGAAGTATGAAAAGGGAAAAAAAATGATCAATGATGAATGATAATATTTAATTTTTTTGGTGAAAAGAAAGGAAGTATGAAAAGAGAAAAAGGAATGATAAATGAAAAATTCCAAAAATGACTTGTGAGTGGCTGAAGAATAAGAGAGATTTCGGTGCGATGTTCGGCTTGAAAATTCCCAAAAAGTTAAGAGAGTGTTCATTCAATGAAATTTTATGCATATAATCTATCACAACCTGGAGTCTTATTTTCAAAACGCTTTCATACGTGTGTCACATATACGCACATCACGAACATGCACGCCACATGCATGCCACCAACCACGTATCTCACATTAAGTCACGTGCACGTACTAACACACGTCATTTATGCAAACGACACACATACATTACGAACACGTGCCTCACATGGATGTCATCCATACGCACGTCGCACAAACGTCACAAATACGTATTAAAATAAGTGTCAAATACATGCGTAAGGTGCACGTCACTCACAGACATCACATACACATCATCAGCACGTACGTCGCATACAAAAATAAAAATACATCATCAGCGCGTATATCACATATACACGTCAAGTACACATTTCTCGCGTATGCGTGAGTCAGAAACACGTACGTCGCATTACGTGCTTAGCATACATGTCACGTACAGATATATCACATGTCCGTACGTAACATACACATCACGCACGCTGTCGCGAATTCCGATTCGCGAGACTCCAACCATACAAATATATAATCAAATAATTTTCTTATTGTAAATGAATAGTGAAAACCACTCCCATTTCCTAATAGATATAAACCCTATGGTATTAACTGAGTGAAAGATCCTTATATCAATAAAATTGTCTACAATCTGGTGCGTGTACAACTCAGCTCAAATCATCGTACCTGAATCAACTCAATTCAACTTAACGCTACTACAACTCGCGTTATATCGCTGGCAGTAGTTGTCTCTTCTTCGACATCACCCTCTCAAACGAACCCTATCAATATTCGCTGCACACGCGTCATGGATACATAGTCACGAACAGATGCATTACTTGGAATTTAGAAAATGGATAACTTATAAGACGTAAGCGTAATTCTGGAGTTGATGATTAAGAAGCGAAACATAACGATAGGAAGATATTTTTTTGATTTTTTTTCGATATTCATGTTATATAGATCACGACGACTCTACATTTATTTAGCAAAAAAAGATAAAAATGACAATTTTGCATTCTAACCTTCCAATTTCAATAGTTTCAAAACCTTATAAATAATCAGCTTCGTGAAACGGTCATGTCTCCTCTGCTTTCAAATTGTATTGAAAATGACATAGATATTTTAGAAGGCTATATTTCCTTAATTAATCATGTTTTATCACGCTTCATTGTGTCTCCAAAATTAGACTTGAGGTATGCACTACAGTTGCCTTATAAGCTTTCACAAATAAGAAAT